CGAGCTCGGTCGTTCTGGAGCTCGGCGAGTGGAGCACTCAGGTACGCTGCGCAGCGTGGTCGTGAAAGGCCAAGGTGGTTCTTCCGGTCTGCCGGGCTCCGCTAATATAGCCTGACAGTTTGGTTAGGAAGTGATTGCAGGATTTGTACTAACAGATGGGAGAGCAGTACCACGTATCAAGAGACTAGTGGGAGCAGTTTTGGGCGCAGAAAGTATATAAGCGTGTCTGCGCCCCCCATGTTGAGGATAAAAGATCATTTGGTAAGAACAAACTAAACATTCAACTCTCTCCTCTCTCTATATCCTTGAGTGTGTGCTAACTTGACTGTCGAAGGGGTTTTTCGGCCACACACCGCCGAATAGCTCACCGCCGTAGTGTTCGCAGGTCGATGGGACAGACAAGGAGCTTGGTAGAAAGGAATACGGGCTCTGCAGAATATTGCTCCTCGTATACTTTGAAAGAATTAAAAAGAAAAATATGAAATGCAAAATTGGTATTGGGTTTGTGAATTATCTCAATTTACCATGAAAAATATATATAAAAGAAATATTTGTGAAATGGAATCCATATAACATAGGTAAAGTTAGTATGATTTAAATTATGTTTGAGTTTGTGTAGAATTTTATATGTAATTAGTAAAATACATGCTGATGTGACTTTTTTTTTAAAAAAAGTTAAGCCTTTATAATGTGTCATCTAAGCATGAAAAAATACTATTTTGAATAATATATATGATTTGAAGAAGTGAGATGTACTTTCTACAATGACAAGAAACAATTTGTTTTTTAAATAAAATTATTTATAATTTATCAAAAAATAATAATAATAATAATTGAGGGATTAAACTGTAATTTGCCCTTTTTGAGGTGGCTTTGGCAGGGGAGCTTCTATATACACACACCCTTTCCTCTCTATACAAATCTTTCTTAATACACACACTAAAAAAATAAATCTTAATATATTTGACTCACTACACACACCTATCATTCCACATATACCCCAAATGTAAATCATACACACACACCCCCTCTCTCACACACACACACCCGTGAGACCCCTCTCAGACACACACACCCATCTGAGAACCCCTCTCACACACACACCCATCTCTCACACTCTCCACCGTTCCTCCCCAAAAGCTTCATCCATCCATTTGTGTCATTGAAGTTTTGGCATCATTGAAGTTTTGCCATTGAAGGGCATTGAAGAACATTGAAATTTTCACATTTTAGGTTAGTTTACACAGATTATAATCTTCTCATTCCTATTTTATTTGTAATGTAGGGTTAATTTTTACCATTTTCGAAATTTCCAGTCCACCCCAATGTAAGTGATTGCCGTGTTTCATTCGGAATTGGTTATTCAAAATTTTTGTTTTTGTTCGGCATTAGAGTTCCGAAATTTCTGCTTCTATTCGGCACTATAGTTCCGAAAATATTTACTTGGTTCGGCTTTCAAGTGCCGAAAATAATTTTTTTTTTCGGTTTTCAACTTCCGAATAGTAGCTTTAATTTCGGACAACAACTTCTATGCCAACTAAGTATGGAAAAAATACTACTTTTAATAATATATATATATATATATATATATGATTTGAAAAAGTGAGATGAACTTTTTACAATTACAAGAATAATTTGTATTTTAAATAAAATTATTTATAATTTATCAAAAAAATAATAATAATAATTGAGGTATTAAAGTGTAATTTGCCCTTTTTGAAGTGACTTTGGCAAACTTTAAAGAGTGATTCTAGGGTGCTTCTATTTGCACATCTCTATTCCTCTCTTTGCACACACTTAATGATAATTATTTTTATTATAATTTTATTTTCAAGTGAAATTACTATTATGGGCATCAAATAAATACATTCGGAAGTTGAATGTCGAAAAAATAAAAAAAATTTGGAATTCTACTTCTAAATAAGTTATTTATTTTCGGAATGCTACTTCCGAACTAGTTGTTTATTTTCGGAATGCTACTTCTGAACCAATTATTTATTGAAAAAGATGTGTATAGAGTGTGATGGGTGTGTGCAAATAGAAGCTCCCACTATTCTACTTACACCACTATTTAATCTCTTTACACCCTCCATCTCATTACACCACTAAAAAAAATATAATTCTCGTTACACTTCCAATATATTATCAAAACTAACCCTAAATTAACTATTTCATCTCTTTACACCACTAATTTTGGTAATACAGTGCTAAACAATTTACATTATTCCGATGTTATGCTGCCGGAAAAAATAGATCTCTCCAACATTTTGTTGCTATACATTTACAGAGCCACTTTCTTCTAAACAATGATTTTTTTAATTTGTGGTGGGCCTGTTCGGTAATACAATACTAATTAATTTGAATTACTCCAGTGCAATATTATCGGACAATATTTTTTTTCCAGCATTATGTTGTTGTCCAATTAGATGATAACAAGAAATTAATTTGGGTCACTTGTGCAGTGTCTGTTCAGTGATACATTGTTACACAAATGGGATTACTCTAGTGTCATGTTGCCAAACTACAATAGAGTTGTTTAGGCTCCGTCGCTGTACATTGAAAGATTTATTTTTTCCTTGAAGCATCCATAAAAAAATTCATAAATCAAACACGCATCCATAAAATCATACATAAAAAGTATCCATACGATAATTCATAAAAACATCAAGCGTACGAATATCCATAAAGTATCCATAAAATCTATTATTGTTTGCATCCATCAATCAAACATGTTATTACAATTCGTCATGGTAATTTTTCCCCCTTAATAGAAATAGACATCCACACTTTTCAGAACCAGTCAACCTCAATCGTTCCCTTTTGATCTTCCTATTGTCTCTATAGTAACCACTTATTTTACAAGCAAGTGGTGTAAGTCTTGGTTTTCTGCCACTGTCTCATACATCCGATGTCTTTATAACAATGACAAATCCAGTATTCTTCCTAACGTCAGAAGCCCATTTAATTAATATTTCACGACTACTAAAAATCTAAAGATAATAAATACATTTATACGTCAAATTATTAATAAAACTCAATATAAATTAAAAATAAGAAAAATCGTATTCATAAAAAAAAATTAACAAACCCCGTCTGTAATGAATTCATGACTAGAGTCTACTAATATTATAGTACTTGCGTTGTTGCAATGAGTATGAGTATAATCCTTTCAGGCAAAAAAATAAAAAATATAAAAAAATGAAATTGAAAATACATGATAATGAGAAGCTGGACAAATTTAATGTATCTTTTATTCCGTAGTTGGTTACCAGACTTATATTTTTTGTTCGATAATGTGATGTCGGACTATTTTATTTTGTTTGATTTCGAACTACCGAACGAAAGTCGAACACCAGGCCAGAAAAACGAAACAAAAATCTACCAAATAAATATAAAAAACAAACTCACAATTTCGCTTTTTTATGATTCTTCACCACCGTTTCTTCATCCATTAATTTCTTTAATAATCAAAATACTATGATTCTCAATTTTTTAAAAGAAGTGTGCAAGAGAAAAGAAAAATTAAGAAAGCAAAAAAAGGAGTAGAGATTGAAGATCAATGAGTGCAAGGAGATAACAAAATTTATTTAATTTTAGTATTTTGTTCTTAAAGGTAATTTCATACATGGATAAAATTGAAAAAAAAAAAAAAAAAACCTCATATGAAGAATGTAAAGAGATAAAATAGCGGTGTAAGTAGAATCACCCAACTTTAAAGTCTTTATTTAGCATAAGTTAAAATGGAGTTTTTTTTTACTAAAATAATCACAATAGATAAAATAATTTTTTTAACTCAGCAAGACAAAATGTTACGTCCAAATCATTATTATTTTATTTTTTATCGTACAAAAATTAAAAAAAAAAAAATTTATCTCAAACAAAATTTTTTAATCCTAAACTAAAAAATAAAACTAAAAAACTAAACTTTTTAATCCTAAACTAAAAAATAAAACTAAAAGGCCGAAAAAAAAACAAACGCACATAGCAAACGAAGCCAAAAGTTCAAACCAACCCACCACCAAACGTTAATCAAGCCAAAGAGCGTAAAGAATGATCACCACGACAAAAAAATCTTCAATCTATTATATTTGTAATATCATATAATATAAATTCATGTACATAAACGTTAATCTCGAAGTTCATGTATTGGTTCTTTGTTTTCATATTGTTTTATCAAAACACGTTTCCTTGCTTTCTGTTTTTGATGCTTTCAAAAAGCACAAAAAATGGGAATATTGAGGCCTTAAAATTCGACAACAGCTTCGATCTCATCGTGCGTAGCATTGTGATGTTTGACTCCAAAATGTGGATTTAGTGGGACATTTAAATTGTTCTTGAATTGATCGAAGAGGATTTTAAAGAAAATACAGACTTGTATTAGTCTTTACATTCGAAAGAAATCTATTTTAATGCAAATAAAAGGTGTTTTGTGAGCTGTTGTTTTGTGGGTATTTAGTTTTGGAATGTGGGTTGAGCTGTTTTTGTGGTTTTGAGCTTCATAGTTGACTTGGAAAGAAGGGAGTCTCTAAAAAGGTATGTTTTTCATTTACAGACTGTTTGGATTGAGGGGTTTGGTGAGAAAAGAAAGAAAAATGGAGAGAAAAAGAACTTATATGACTTGTTTGGATGATTGAGGAGGTGAGTAACGGTGAGGCAAGTTTTTTGAATTGTGTGTGTTTGAGTTATGATATGATATAATTACAAATTGCAGTTTATTGTCTAATGGGTATTTTTCTTAATGTAATACTTAAATTGAATTTGAATCTGATAATAGCCTTTACAAAGTTGAGTTCTAAATGCTTGTTTTAATATCTAAAAGAAATTTTTTGAGTGCCCAGAAAGACATATTTTGATAGACAGAGGTGTCTTTATATATGCCTTTCTAATTTCTGTACTCAAATAAATTTGCAGTTGTTGAAGCATACACGTTACACCTCTTAAGAGAGGACTGTTAAAATCTATTCCTGTTCGGAGTTGGCGAGTTTGACGGCAGAATTGACGTTCTGCTTATGGTTTTATCGTTGAGAAGCTTGGAAAAGTTGTCACTGATTGACACCGTGTAAAGTATGATTAATTGGATGAGTTTGAATTGAATGAGTTGGATTTGTAATTGATGTCGGGTTTGGTTTGAGAGGCACACATTTGGAGGTGTCCGCTATTTAGACTCTGATCACTGATATTCACATGGGTTCCCAGTCCTCCAAACTCTTGTCATGTTGTTGGGTTTCACGACATAGCGCATCTATTGTTGAGGCACCTAATGTTGGTGTGTTACCTTGCCTATCTTTTTTATTTTTATTATTTTTAATTTTTTTTCTTTTTTATGTTAATTGGATGTAGGTGTTGGTTGGTTGATATGTCTGCTGTCAGAGAATGAAGAGGAGGAGGTCAGCGACTTGCCTGCATTCCGTGAATTCACACTAGAGCAGCTAAAGAATGCCACTTCTGGTTTTGCGGTAGAGGATATTGTGTTGGAGAATGGTGAGAAGGCTCCAAATGTTGTTTATAAAGGGAAGCTGGAGAATCAGCAGAGGATTGCTGTCAAGCGCTTTAAAAAAACAGCTTGTCCAAATGTGAAGCAATTCTTGGTAAAGTCATTCTGAAGAATCTCTCTCGTGAGCACATGAATTCATACATTTCTCTTGCATAGTTTTTTGTTATGACCATGCTTTGCCATGCAATGCAATTGTATATGGGCGTTATTAGGTAGGACTGCAAATGAATTGAGCTTGGCTTTTTTATTTATCTAGCTTGGCTCAACTCGTTAATACTAATCATGCTCGAGCTCAACTCGAAGCTTGATGATGAAGAAAAAATCAGGCTTGATAATCAAGCTTGGTCAGCCCGTTAAATATTATTCTATATTACAATTATGCATATATAACACATTTTACATTATTTAATATATAAACAATATTTATCTTATCGTTTAAGTAAATAATAAACGGGCCAAGCTTATTCTAGCTTGAGCTAAGCTCATTTATTAAACAAGCCTAAAAATCTTGCTTGTACTCATTTATATACGTAACAAACCAAGCTGAGCCAAGCTTGTGAGGAGCTCGGTTCATTTGCAGTCCTAACCATCGGTATCAAATTGTTTTTAGGTGTGAACAAGAAGGTTCAACTGTATTCATTCTTTTTTCTTTCTTTATAAGACCACCCCAAGTTTTTCATTTAGGTTTACATATCTATCCTCTTCTACTTGTGTTGTGAGAGTCTGGTTGTTTCTTTTCTCTCTCTCTTCAGGACAATTATGAATTTGTGTTGTTTCTTAAACCTTTTTTACCTTAAAAATCCTGCACCACATAATATTTTTTTATTGACCCTTTTATTACATTTTGCGTAGAACTAAAAACAGGTTTTCCTTTTTATTATAAAATTTATATTCCATATCTCCTAATTTGTGAAGAACATTTTTGTGCACTATGAAAATTTGTTCTGCTCTTTTTACTTTTCATTTAATTTGCATTGATCCAAGATGACTTGCATATCCATGTCGGAATCAATGTTCCTTCATATGTCTTGAATAGGTTTTCAATTACCACGTCACTTATTTTTGTCTTTCACATATGTATTGTTTGGGATGTGCCTTTTGTTCATTCTTGAATATAATTATTTTTCTTTGGCAACTACAGGAAGAAGCAAGGTTGGTTGGCCATCTCTGTAACCCTTGGTTGGCAAACTTGCTTGGTTATTGCTGTGAAGATGATGAGAAGCTGCTCATGGCTGAATATATGCCCAACAATACACTCGCAAAACACTTGTTTCACTGTAAGGGTTTTTTTTTCCCAGCTAAGTTGAACATGGCCTAAATGCTTCTTAAGTGTGTCCCAGGCATGTCCAGTGAAAAAACAAGTACTAATAAATAGACACTCCATGTGGCGTGTCAAATGCATGTCCCAGCTGTGTCTGCGTCTTATGTGTGTCTGACATTGCTACGACACCTATTTTGAAGTGTCCATACTTTATAACTCACTATTAAATCCAAAATTGTTTATTATAGGTTCCATTAGTATTGTTGTTTTTTACTGGCGTCAATTATTTGCTATATGTTTCCATTATTTCTATATCCTTGGGTAAGTTCCAATCTAATTTGGTGTATTGGATAATGCAATTATTCCTTTGGTTTAGGGGAAACACAACCTATGAACTGGGCAATGCGATTGAGGGTGGTTTTACATGTTGCACAAGCTCTAGAATATTGTACAAGCAAAGGCTGTTCCGTTTATCATGACCTAAATCCTTACAAAGTTTTATTCGATGAGGTATATATTAAATATTTCCTTAATTTGGACACCTCTATTCAGTTGAATTTTATATGGGTTCCTCTATTTATCTTTTTAGAATTTCGCAGGACTGTAATCCTAGACTTTCGTGCTTTGGCTTGATGAAAAGTAATGGGAATGGAAACATTTATAGTACAAATTTGGCATTTACTCCTCCAGAGTTTCTGAAAACCGGTATGTATTCTCTTGTTATAGGACAATTTTTATGCCCCAATTTTTTTTAAAAATCATGTAGGATCTATTAGAAGTCTCTTTAATTGAACTTCATTCTGATCTCACCTCGAATTTTTTGTTCTTCCTTCTGTTTTGTAGGGAACATGCCTGTTAACCAAGTGTAACGTTATTTGTCTTCTACTTTTCTTCTACAATGGTAAAATAAATTAGCTGTCAGAGTTAAGCACAAATGCATATTTATCCTGTTTTTGTTATATTTTCTGTTTTCTTTGTTTTCATTTTTCATGTTTTTGGAAACAAAAACAATAAAAAGTTCAACCCATCATTTTCAAATTGTTTTTGTTTTTGCTAGTTTTCAAAAATTCAGAAACAACTTTTGTTGTTTCCTAAAAGGTGGATTGTTTCTAGAAAATTGTATCGAAAAAAGTTCGCCAAACAAGTTTTCTGTGTTTTTCGGAAAGTGAAAACAGAAAACAAAAACATGATCACAAAATCAAACAAGCTTTTGGTTGAGTTTTCAAAATATGTTTTTTGAGTTTAATGAAAAAAATCAAAAACACTAATCATTTTCATGTAGGAAACAAAAACAATAAAAAGTTCAACCCATCATTTTCAAATTGTTTATGTTTTTGCTAGTTTTGAAAAATTCAGAAACAACTTTTGTTGTTTCCTAAAAGGTAGATTGTTTTTAGAAAATTGTATCAAAAAAAGTTCACCAAACAAGTTTTCTGTGTTTTTCAGAAAGTGAAAACAGAAAATAAAAATACAATAACAAATTCAAACAAACTTTTGGTTGAGTTTTCAAAATATGTTTTTTGAGTTCAATGAAAAAAAAAATCAAAAACACCAATCATTTTCATATTTTGGGCAAATTTTTTTTTATCTTTTTGAATTTTTTTTTTGGTGTTTATTTCAAACTAAACTGAAAGCAGATTATGAAAACTCAACCAAACAAGATAAGATACTTCTTTTGGTGGATGAGGTTAATTATTTATCTGGTTCAAAATTCTCCTGATGTCATTGATGACAAATTTGATGTTTCACACTCCTTTGTTACTTGGATGTTTTAAATAGCCCAAATGATGTTTAGATAACTATTCTTGCTTCATATGCTGGTCTTCTTTGTATAGGTACAGTGACACTAGAGGGTGTAATCTATAGCTTTGGCACTCTTTTGCTTGATGTTCTTAGTGGGAAACATATTCCCCCTAGCTATGAAAGTATTTGTATCTTACAACCAAATTTGATGTTTTATGCTTTATGCAAATTATTTTTTGACAATACTGTTGTTCGAGTCTAGAGCACCCCCCAAAGCTTATATTCATCTTTTTATTCTATTCTGGATTTCGTATACGTAGTTACAGACACATCTATTTGTATATCTATGTTAATACATAGTTATGCATGTATTTTTTTTAAAAAAAAATTACCACGATTAGTGTGTACTTTAATGTAAACATCTATCTTGATAAAGTGGTCAGGAATTGGAAATAATCTGAGTCCTTTCTGTTGGTTTTTGGAAAGTATTGAAACCATCAAGCTAGGGTAAAATGGAAATGCTGGGTGAGGGCTTAAAGACCCATTTGACTCCAATAGAATGGACACTGGGAAAACAGAAATTCTCGAAGTACCCTTATCTTAAAACAATCATTCTGAAAAACAAATGGAAGTCTTTAAATTCATAATAGAGCAATAAATAAAATGGTTGCAAATTGTCATGGCAAAGGCAAAGATTAGTAAAAAGTTAAAACAGAACAAACACCCAAGCACACAAGGCTTTACATGGTTTGGCTATAAGCCTACGGCCACTGGTGAAGAATGGAATTCACTATGAAGATTGAGATTACAATAAGCTGGCTTGCTCTCTCTCTCTCTCTCTCTCTCTCTCTCTGACTATGTATATAGGGCTCCAAAATTGGCAAACCTACAAGGATCCAATATCTTTATGCAGATATTTTCCATTTCTTAGATTAATGATCTTTCTAGGATATGTATTTGACATTACGTGCCTAATGCTGTGGTAATTCTACCAGGCCCTTGATTTGATACGGGACAGGAACCTTGAGATGCTGACAGATTCTTTCTTGGAAGGAAAATTTTCCGATGATGCCAGGACTGAGTTAGTACGCTTGGCTTCTAGATGCTTGCAATATGAACCCCAAGAAAGGCCAAATCCAAAGTCATTAGTGGCTATTTTGACTACTCTTCAGGAAAATACCAAGGTCAATTGCATTTTTATTTTTTGCTTAATTTTCTTAAGAATAAAGGCTTATCATCCCAAAGCAACTCAGAAATTGGAAAGTCTGGACTGTTTCCTAATTATTTATTTATTTTTTTGGGTATGATACTTTTACATTTTTATCTTCTTATAGTCAGAATTAGTTATTTGAAATTTTGAATGTGCCAATTTCATCTTGTTAAGCGGATTTAGGTTTGTCATGAATCTTTGGTTTCTTGCTGTACAGGTTCCTCCTCATGTCTTAATGGGCATCTCGCCCAGTGCTTCCTTCTCACCTAAATCCCCACTTGGTGAAGCATGCTTAAGAATGGACTTGACTGCCATACATGAGATCTTGGAGAATATTGGGTATAAAGATGACGAAGGTGTCACCAATGAGGTATTGTATATGTTTAAAAAATGTTAAAGATTAGATTTTTCTCGTCATGTATTCTGAAGTCAACATCTTAATCTCACATAATTGTCTCATTAGAATGTTTAGGGCTTATACATAATTGCTTTGTAAGCTTCAGCTTCAATTTTCCGTTGCCTGAGCGTGATATATCGGTCAATATCGACTGATATATAAGTGAAAATCGGTATCGGAACTCTAAAATCCTGATACTAATTGGCTGATGTCTAAAGCCCTCCCACATTTTTCTTTTTCTTTTTCTTTTGTTGCCATGGAGGATGTCAACCGCTTGAGAGCATGTTATGCTTTGTCATACCAGAGACAATTTTATCATTCTTTTTGACCCAGACAAAATTACAGCCTATGCGTTGTGCTTTTGCTCACTACCATCTTTCAACATTGCAGCTCTCATTCCAAATGTGGACTGACCAAATGCAGACAACAATAAATTCGAAGAAAAACGGCGATTCTGCTTTCCGGTGTAAAGATTCCAAAACTGCAATTGACTGCTACACACAGGTTATTTTTGTTTTGTTTCGTTTCCGAATTCTAATTTAATGGCAGTCAATCTTGGTATCACATAAAATACTCACTAACAATTGGAAGCTTTGGGGAATTACTGAGATGATTATAACAATTTGTCATAAGTAATGTTTGGGAGTGTTGCCTTATAAAAACGATTTACATTTTGGAATGCACATTCCAAAACATGGTACAGTTTCATTCCAAAACAATGAATTTAGCTGTCAAAAGCGATTCGAAAAATATTTTCCACTATAAACCTTAAAAGTTACCATAAAGAGGAAAAACAAATCAAATATAATAAACTAAAATTTTAGGAGAGTAGGGTTGACAAAAGGTAAAAATTGGTCATAATGCTCATACAAGTGTGTGGTAACATGATTAATTTGAAAGGAAAAAAAAAAGGGTAACATTTTATTAGATGTCTAATGCGAGCCCTAGAAGTATCTTAAATTCTATTAGTCTAATCAAATAAGTCTAACCATATCGTACGTTTTAGAAAATGTGACATATCACATTCGTGATCATGTTCCATGTACCGAAACAATCCATGTCTCAGGTAATTCAGAGATAGTGGCAGTTTATGGGAAAACTCTGATAATCTAATGGTTACATTCTTGAAAATCTGAGTGAATGCTGGAATCCTAATAACGGTTTTATTTTCCTACTTGCAGTTTATTGAAGCAGGAATAGTAGGGTCACCGACAGTTTTTGCTCGCCGTAGTTTGTCTTATCTCATGAGCGACTCGCCACAGGAAGCTTTAAAGGATGCAATGCAAGCCCAAATCATATCTCCAGCCTGGCATGTACCGTCTTATCTACAAGCCTCTGCACTTTTCGCCCTTAAAATGGAAAATGAAGCACATATAGCCCTTAAGGATGGTTCAGCTTTTGAAGCCAGAAGGAGCAAAAGTGTTTGACAGTAACGAAATGATGTACAGATATGTAAATCTTCTGCTTTGCTCGCTTTGTCTCACTTCCTTTGTGAAGATCATTATTTGGCACGCATTGAAAGGTTTCTGCTCTGACCGGAGCTTGATTCTATTCAACAATCATAAAGAACTTATTGTCCTTCATTTCTTGTTCACAGTTGTAGTTTGTGTACAGAAACTGTGACCGATTTTCACGTCCTTGAGATTGTTACATTCATTTGTTTTGGAAGTTATAATGATTTATTTGGTACTTCGTGTTCGTGAATCTACAATTTCGATGTAATGCTTTATTTGATTTCCCAGAAATTGTCAATAAAGTGTGAAATTTACTGGTTTTCTTTTTCTCCATCTTCTTGGTTTTGAGATGGTCAAAACGTAGATTTGCAGTGCCATTTCTGAGTGTTAGTTATATAGAGGATACTTTAGCGTAGACCTTGAAATTTATTTTGAGAATTGATTGGATTTGTGTACCGAAACTTTCCCCCAAGGATGAGATTTGCTATTTTTGGATCTTGGATTTGTGGAAAGGAAACGAAAAAGAAAAGGAAAAGATGAATGAAGTAGGGTGGTTTTGGATATTGGATTTAGGGTTTCTTCTCTCTTTTTTTTCCCGAAAAACATAGAAAACTTGTTTGATGAACTGATTTTGAAAATAGCTTCTGAATTTTTTTAGGAAATACTTAAAAGTTTGTTATGTATGTTCGAAAGCATTTTTTGCACAAAAATGAAAACGATAGGTGTTTTCAAACTTTTCATTGATTTATTTTTGAAAACACAACTATACTCTTTTCCTCCACAAATTAAGATCTGAACACAGCTTTATGCTTTCATTATATGCTTTCCAATTTGCACTTTGACCATTTGGTGTCTTTTCCCATTTGCTTCTGGTCTATAATTAGTTTCTAGGAAGCATTCACTCATCTGGTGCCTTTTCTTATTTTCTTTTCCTTCAAAAGACAACAATGGTGACTGGCTAACTTGGGGCTGCCCTTTTTCTTTTGATAGTGTATGGAACTGGTTTTTAGGTTTTCTTGTAATAACGTATTCAAAATCTTTTAGCATCAGCTTTGATGGTAAGAGAGCTATCTCTTTTCCAGTGTTTTTTGGCAAACAAGTATAGATTGGCAACTTCAAAACACAGTAAAAACATTTCATTATTACTTTGTTCGAGTCCAAATTGCATTAGTAGCAAAACTAATTTATCTAAGCTTGATCAAAGCAAAATCTAAAATCAAAACAACAGTAATATTCGAAGGAAAAATAAATGAATAAAGGTCCAAATTGCATTAGTAATATCAGGAATCAATATTTCATACCTTTGTATGAGATGCCTAGGAATGTTGGGGAATCAAATATTCCCAATTTACTATTTGGATATACCATTAATGTATATCGAAAATGAAACTTCAAGATCATTTTCATATTTAGTTTACTAATAATATAACCAACATAAATTAGATTTACAGAATAAATAAATAAATCCTTACATAGAATGAGAACGAGAACGCTCCCCCCTTTCCATGGTAAAGAGATTCCAGCCATATGAGGGTATCTCAATATTGGATTCTGATTACCAAAAATAGGCACCAAACACAGGAAATTAGCAAAATGGGAATGGGATTCATTTCAAACAAACCCACATCCATGCCAAGTTAACACCAACAAGAAATCTGCCTTCATTTAAAAATAAAAAAAATAAAAAGGATTAAGATCCTGAAATGCAATTGGTAGCGCTACTCATCCTCAAATAATATGTGACCATTTATCTTACATTACACATCATAGACAAAATTTGTGAAGGCACAACTATGTGAGGATTCATAAAAATGATGGAACATTTCCTTATTCACACAAATTAACAAAAATGCATAAACGAAAACGTCATCTTTAACAAAACCAAATTTCAAGCATTGAAGGTGTCAACATGTTGCATATCACTCTTGTTTTTCATTCAGGTTTCTTTTGAAAACTGTGGAGATCAATATTCTTCCTTTGTTCCACCCAGGTCTAACAGGTAGTTGTAACATCAATTGAGATTAATTAATGCAACCTAGCAAGCACGGACATGGTGATTTGAAAAAAATGGGACCACAGACACATGGGGGGACACGACAATAAAATATTTTTTCATACATTTTTATTGTTATGTAGATTAGAATTAAATCCATAAACAATCAAAAATAACAAAAAACTGAAACTAATTTGATATTTTAAAATATATATCACTTTAAATTTAAATTAACACTTAACGTGTAGATCTTTATTATGAATGATCTATTAAGTATTTAAATCTAAGCAAAAGGTAATAAATATTCAACATCCAACATCCATCAAAAACAATAAAGAAAAGCGGGGAAAAAATAGTTGGTGCCAGTGTCATTAAGGCGCGCCTAGGCGTGTGCCTAGGCCCAAGTCTCATCTAGGCCCAAGGTTTGCGCCTTGCAGTGTTCTAGGCCAGGCGACTTTGATAAGTTGTGCCTAAGGCGTGCAACTAGGCCAAGGCGTAGAAAAGCCCAAGGCCTGCGCCTTAAGGGCTTTTTTTTTTTTAAATTTATTGTTGCTTTGATTGGTTTTGTTTAAATCTAACCATTGATTTAACATGGTGCAACTATAAAAGATTCCTATTCTTAAATACACATGCAAATACATTGGACATTCAACCACAAATCAACGATAGAAGAAAAATTAGTCCTAATTCCTAATCTCCGAAGAACATTTTGCTGCTGCCTGCTTTCGTTATCCAATCCAGCAGCTCCAAAAATTCTTCTTCACGTTGCTATCATCTTCTTCTTATTATTCTTCTCTTCTTACATTTCTCTCTCATTCGTTTCTCTTCTCTTCTTCCCTACATTGTTGTTTTGTCCACTTCTCTTCTCTACGTTTCTTCTTCTTAAATTATTTTCTTATATTAAATTACATAATTTTTTACGTACGAGGTGCACCTCACTTCGGTAAAGCTTGCGCCTCGCCTTGCGCCTAGGTCCCAAGAGACCTTGGCGCCTCTGTGCACCTATCGCCTTTAATAACACTGGTTGGTGCGTCCCCTAAAAACAAATTAATTAAATAAAAGGACACGCACACGTGGGGTGTCCCGTATGTGTCTCCGTGTCCGACACCGCTACAACACTTGTTTTCAAGTGTCAGTGCTTCAGAGAATGCAAGCTTCCTCCAATACATTTATTATTTACCTCTTCCTTTAACCCTACCTATTATGTAATTTGCATGCAAAAATCTAAAAAACATGACCGATCTATTGTGACTAATGAAGTCCCAAGGCATCGTTGGTCAATCAGAAGCATCAATTTTCACAAGTTCTACATTAACATTAATATCTTAGAAATACTACAAAAATGATACATGGCGAAATCTTAACTACACCAAAAAATCAAATCCTATTTTCTCATTCTGCAAGAGATTCAAAAAAAATAAAAAATAAATACACAGTCAAAATGCCACATTCAAGCCAGACAATAATTGATAATGACTAAACTGAACCATTGTTGCCATATTTTTTGGGATACTAAACAAAATTTTTTGCTCACACATCATCTTGCAATTTGGACCCTAAAGTGTTTACAAGATGCTTATGTTACATGACTTCGGGCAAGAATATTAGGTGAAGGTGTGCATCCAAGCGTCAAGCTTTCATAAATCTAAATCTTGAGATATTTCTAAATCCATAAGTTGGATATGGATAAGGAAAAATCTCAAGGACAATAATATAATTGCACATTATATAACATTCTTCAATGAGATGTAAATTATGTAAAAATGTATTTGAATTTAAATAGGATTTAGGGAAATATAAAACTTCTCTCTCTCATCAAGCTATTAGTGTTTCTTAACTTACAAATGCGAGTTTCTTCTTCTTTAAACATTGTAAAAAATTAGAGAATCGAAGTGTCTAAATTAGATACGGGTGTCAAACACATATCCTACCATTGCCCTTGTTATGTCTGGTGGACACGATTACTTCGGGAGAAATAGAAGAGTCCATGTAACACACAAGATGCCACTCACTTATCAAAAACAAATAAAGATGTCACTCACAGTTCTGCTACCCAGTCTTGTCTTTATTATTTTTTTTATTTTTTGGTCAGAGATGGGATTTAAATCACCAGCACCCATTTTTTGTAGCATGTATCACTAGAGAAAAGCAAGGCTTCTTCACACTCAACACTCACAATTTTCAACTTCGTTGTTAGGGGAAAAGACACACACTGTCCAGCCACAAAATTGACTGCATAAACAGTAAGCAAAATTATAAAAACAATCACACATTCACATTATTAATGAAAAACAGTATAATGGAGAATATTAATTTTCATAGGAACCAGTAACTAGAGAAGAAATTGTCAAAGAGTACATAGGTAAAGATGAACCTTTTCCTTCAAAGTTACCTTGTCAAGCTCCATCGCTTGGGCAGCCTTTGCTTTTGCCAATGCTGTCAACTTGGTCTTCACCTTTCTCTTCCCAACTTGGAATCCACTTGCACCCTTCTTCTTTTTCTTCGTGTCACTACCATCCACCTAAACACATAATTGCCCAAACACAAAGCTCTCCGACACATTCCAACACTATACAGAGAGTGGGCTTGGAGGAAGAAGAAAGGGAGTTACTTTCATCTTATTCTTCTTGGCCTGCAGCTTCTTTGCCTTGTTTTCTTTCTCTAATTTCTCTCCTGATTTTTTCAAATACAAATCAAAACAAACTCAATCACATACCCACAACAAAAACATTTAGGGGGCCAATTTACCAAAAACTCAATTCAAATCATATAAACACACACATATATACATACATATAGAGAGAGAGAGAGATAGAGAGAGAGTGCTTTGGAGTTCGAATTCGTGCTGTCTTTTTCTGCGAGCTAGGTCGTTCTTCTTCGATATTTCTCTCTCTCTCTCTCTCTATCTCTCTCTCTACTGAATCAACAACAACTCCTCGTTTCTTTCTCTCTCTGGTACTCTGGTTTTCACTTCAATCTCCAGGAGATACTTGAATTGAAACCCTAATTCCGCTTTTCTTATTTGTCTGTTTCATTATTGAAATGGGCTTTTAAGCCCCATCAAACTCTTTGGGCCGGGTTCACTTTTACTTTTATTTTGGCTTCGTTTGGGAAGTTGCTATTTTAGTAGGCTATTTTAGTTTTTGGCTATTTTAGTAAGTTAAAATTTTTGTGTTTGGGAAGATGATTGGATTTTTTTATGGTTGGATGTGATGTTTGTGAGAGAAAAAGTGAAATGATTATGAATTTGATGTGATATTCTGTCTTATTAGCTATTTTAGTCTATTTTGTCTTTTTGTGAATTTTAGCCTAAATTAAGCTATTTTTTTTCTTCCCAAACACTTTGTCTTATTTGGGTGATTTTATTTGCACCCAAATACTATCTTAATTCGTCTAATTAAAATTTTCTTATTATGATACCTTAATATAAATTTACTATTAAAGACAATATACATTAAATTATAAAATAATATATATATATATATATATATATATGTTTTAATGTACACTCCAATCATTTATATTCAAGTTTGTTCATCTTTTTTCCTAAGTTTTAATTATTTTCTGTTATTTTTTTCTCATTCCAAAACTCCAATCTACCATTATCATCAACATCTTTGTTTATTAATGTATTATTATTTGCAAATAGAAAAAAGTTTGAACAAAATCAAGTAATAGATTAGAATAATAATCAAAAGTAATTTTTAAAATAATTCATTAAAGATGAGATAAGTATTCATATAAATATTAAACTATAATTCTTAATTTATGTATTTTTTTTTAATGTAAAAACACATATTTTGATTATCCCAAAAAAATGTAACAACACAAAAAAAAAAAAAAAAAAAAAACAAACAAACTTGGGATAATAAACGGAATCAAAAAAACTGAAACAAACTTGGGATAATAAACGGAATCATCGTCCATAAGAAAACTGCATCAGTTTTATATCTAACCACTATGAAGATCGAAAAAACAGTGAAACAAATTTTAGGTTGAATTGAGTTGTTTATTATTTAAGTGTTTATAAATTATGATTTTATCTTAAAGATAATTTATAAAAAAAAATATAGAGTGTATTGAGAGTAAATTTATAAACTTAAATAATTTTATAGAATATACTGAAAAATTGGACCTACTAAATGATTTTTTTTATGTGCAAATAGAATCACTTATAGTGGACTGATGAGTGGGCCAATAGATTGACTTTATGGACTTGTGACCTGGCCTCCAGGCTTAGCCCAAGATTTGAGTGTTTTTTTAATAATTTTCTTCACCCTTTTCTTTAAATAATTTTTTATGGGCTGGGTTGAGGTGGATTTCAAATTTAAGGCCCAATCTCACTTGTGTTGGCATATCCAGGATTTGGGCTCTATTTGGGTAAAAGCCCAATGAGCCTGGGCTAGGTTGGGTTTCAAGTTGAAGGCTTAATTCTAGGCTCTGTCTAACTTGGACTGGCCTGTTCAGGATTCGGCCTTTGTTTGAGTAAATTCTCAATAAGCTTGGGCCAGGTTGGGTTTCAGATTCAAGGCCCAGTCTCACTTGGGCTAGCCAGTCCAGGCTTTGGACTTTGTTAGGTAAAAGCCCAATGAGCTTTGGGCTGGGTTGGGTTTTAATTTCAAGACCCTATTCTAGGCCCAATCTCACTTCAGTCAACATGTTCAGAATTTGGGCTTAGTTTAGGTAAAAGGGCAACGAGTTTGGGCCGGATTGAGTTTTAAATTCAAAGCCCAATTCCAACCCAATATCGCTTGGACTGGCTTGTTCATAACTTTGGGCCTTGTTTGGGTAAACACGCAACAAGTTTGGGCCAGACCCGATCTCAATGACAAAAAATTATATTCAGATATTTGGGCCTTGGTTGGGTAAAAGCCCAACAAGTTTCGGCCAGACTGGATCTCAAGGACAAAATTATATGTCATTCTCTTTGATCTTTCTCATAATTTTTAAAATTGACCCTGTGAGATTTATTTAATTCTCTTAAAAAATAAAATTTATTTGAAAGAAGTGATTTCATGAAAGAGTATTGATTATATACATTTGTTTTTGATTTTTTTTTAGAAAAAATATTTGTATATGATTTTTTTTTTTTTGTTAATTACAAAAAAAAACCTTAAGGTTGCATGCGTTTTTTACTTTAAAACTTAGTATAAGCATTTCAATTTTGACAAATTAAATCTTGGAATTTCATTCGTATTTGAATGTACACCCTCTGTCCATATCCGTCTGATTGAACTAACGGAATGTGGATAAAATTTTCAGATTCAAACACATATGTTCAAACACTTATATCTCCCTCGTCGTCACTCCGTTTCGCTTCATTTTTGCATCATTGATTTATCTTATGGCCTAGTTTTCATTCCATTTCTCATATGCCTTGTTCCATCTCTTCTTAAATGTTGTTGGAGTGATGAAATTTTTTTCTTCAAATTTGGACTCTTCTAATGATAAAATTTTGATTTTGTTCTTAATTTTGATAACTTTGTAAGAGGGACTACGTTAAATGTAAGAGACACTTATCAGTGTTTTAACGGATTAGGGCTACCTAAAATGTAAGAGACACTTATAGTGCTTTAATGGATTAATGTTATTTTTAGTCATCAAAATTATGGACGAAATCAAAATTTTAGGCTGTGTTTGGTGAAACTTTCAAATCATGATTCCACCCCTCTATTTAAGTGTCATGTTTGGATACAAATTTCAAAAATTAATTCCACACCACTTTGGAAAACTTGTTTCAGGCGGGATTTGAATTTTAAAATTTGGCTTACCCAGACGTCTGACCGATCGTCCGGCTAGTTGACCAAAACTGTGCAATTTTATTATTTTATTATTATTATTATTATTGAATTTTTGGGATTTAAAGAAAATCACGTGAAACTATTTTTTTTTTTTTTTTGTAAGTAACCCTAATATTTGTTGTTATTATTTTTTTGTGTATGTATATATAACTTACATATCTTATCGTATATGTACACATGTGTTTGTATATATGATGAAATTTTTTTCTTCAAATTTGGACTCTTCTAATGATAAAATTTTGATTTTGTTCTTAATTTTGATAACTTTGTAAGAGGGACTACTTTAAATGTAAGAGACACTTATCAGTGTTTTAACGGATTAGGGCTACCTATCTCGTAAGAGACACTTATAGTGCTTTAATGGATTAATGGTATTTTTAGTCATCAAAATTATGGACAAAATCGAAATTTTCTCTCTCCGGCCAATATTCATAATCCCTCTTTGAAAATTCAAACTTTTTAAGAAAACGCAATCATTACATTTTGAATTCAAATTTAAATAATTACAAAAGTACCATTCTATTTTCATTTTTAATATATATATATATATATAATTATTTTATAAGGGATAATTTTAAAAAATTTAAAATTTAAAATTTTGACATTACCAAGTGGACATACATTTGGGGATAACAAAAAATTGTAATAATAGACCAATTGTAAAACCCTAATTTTCGGACAGTTAATAAATTAAATACTCCTCAAATTTATAATTTCAAATAAATTAATAACCTCAGATGTATCAATCATCTCCAAAAATAATTACACAAATGTTTCCAATATATAATTTATACAATTGTCTCTAAAATTAATATATGGTGGTGGGTCCCAAAATTTCTAACTCAAATAAATCCTTTGATATTTCAATCCCCACTAAATTGCTCTCCACATGAAAAATAAATTAATTCGGAAAGTATATAATACGATAGGAATAATAATGTTTAGATAGAGAATAAATAAAAACGGATTCTACAACATTGTACAAACGATTCAATATTACCAAAGAATTTACCAAATTGCACAAACAAATAAACTCACATATGATAATTTATTCAGGACCAAACATCCGGTCCTATTCAGTACATGATTGGCCTCACCCACCTTACCCAAGCACAATCGCTTATCTAGGCGTATTAGTACAAGCTTATTGGTAGGTCCACTCGATTCATATATGGAGCATTTTCATGTCATTCAGTCAGACAAATCAACACTTTTAACACAGAATAATTTCACAAAATTTATCAAATGTCCAGACTAATCAAGAGGAATACAAATGAGAAATAATTAAAATAAAATTATTTACAAAGAGATTTAGAGGAAGTATATTTTATACCATCCAAATTATCTCAAAACAATTCATCCATCACCAACACTTAAATCATTTGATATTGCTCCATAAATCTCCAATGGTAACGGATCAAAATTCTAAGACAATAGATATGTAAGGTTTAATAAAATCTATTATTTTTTTCTCAAATAAAAATGTCAACTCTCACTCTAAACACTTTCTTTTTTTAGATTCATATGAAATAAGAGAAACAACAGAAACAAGAGATCAAAAGATATAACAGCAACAAGGCAGAGGGCTAGTCCCTTACTAAACTAACTACAGTCATGTCATGTATAAGCAGGGCAGCAACTTTATTTGGAGGGTTATCAAGGATTACAACATGCTCATTTTGAGACACTCCCATATTGGCTAAACGATCAGCAACTCTGTTACCCTCACGTAGGGTGTGGCCAAGAGAGCTGTTAGTCTTCTGCAGCAGGAACTTAGTATCTTTAATGAGAGCCTTAAATGGTGAGTTGTGGTTTGGGCCATGAAGGATTTGATTAATGGCCTACTCAGAGTCTGATTCTAGTTGCACATCTCTTGTATTTTTCTGGAAGAGAATGGTGAACCCTCTATATATGGCCCATCTTTCTGTTTCTAAGCTCGTACAATGGTCTAACTTTCCGTAATAACCTCAAATCCAAGTGCCTGTTTCATCACGCAGCACTCCTCCATAACCTGTTTGGCCTGGGTCTCCCTTTGAGCAGCCGTCAGTATTCATTTTGAGCTTACCTGCAAGTGGGCAACACCAATGAATTAATTTGGGTTCTGCAGAATGGGGGCAAAGAGGGGAATGAAAAGCCTTATCAATTTCATGAACATAAGTAAAAATGTTCTTGAGATTGACCTAAATAGGGTTGGAAAGGTTATCAAAAACCAGTTTATTACAATCTTTCCATAT